CCAGGTGAACATAGAGAAAACGGAGGTGATGAAGATTCCTGGCCAACACCACCAACAACAACAGACAGCAATCAGCATAAATGGAAGGAACCTGAAAGAAACAACCTTCTTTACCTACTTGAGAAGCATTGTTTCAACTACAGGCGGAACTGACGAGGATATCATAGCAAGGATCGGGAAAGCAAGACAAGCTTTCATTACTCTCAAATCTGTGTGGAGGTCAACATCATTCAGCGTCAAAAATAAGATCCGGATTTTCAACTCCAATGTGAAGTCAGTACTACTATACGGATCAGAGACTTGGCGTGTCACAAAAAGCACCTCAAACAAGCTACAGACATTCATTAACAGATGTCTTCGCTCAATACTCAAGATCAGATGGCCGGAAAGGATCAGCACCAAAGATCTCTGGGAGCGAACCAACCAGGAACCGATTGTGAAACAAATAGGGAGGAAGAAATGGAGATGGATTGGCCACACTCTGAGGAAACCAACAAGTGACATCACTAGACAAGCCCTCGAGTGGAACCCGAAAGGGAAGCGTCGAGTTGGTCGTCCAAGGGTGACCTGGAGGAGATCATGTGAAGAGGAGATGAAAATGTGTGGGCAGACTTGGAACCAGGTGAAAACTCTAGCAGAGAACCGAACGCAATGGAGACGCATGGCTGAAGCCCTATGTTTCTCTAGGAACTAAAGGAAATAATAATAATAATAATAATAATAATAATAATACGGTGCCCAAGTTTTATACTTATATCAATATCTATCATCTTATTGGTTCATGTATGTTAGTTATTTTCATATATATACTCTTAAATATGATGGAGAAGATTTGTAGCTCAGATGGATGATTTTGATGTGGTTGTGTTCTCTCTGAGCTGGCTGGATGTGGATCGATGGTTAATTTGCGAAGCTTTCATCGCCCTACTAGGCAAGCGACATCTTCCTTCAGCGCATACACTTCAATTTGAATTGAAGTGAGCTTTTAGATTTCTCCACGAGTGAGTTTATTAATCATCTCTCCTGGTCGGTGACCTTGGACGTGATAGGCATCAAACAAAAAATGCAACACACAAGCTGGATGGAATGCATAATCCAATTCAACGGCCAAATATATGAACAAGTCAAAGGAACACCCATGGGATGGATTGCCAATATCAGGTTTGATTGCAGAAGCAGTGATGCAAAGGCTCGAAAACATAATCCTAGCAAAGATCAAACCCAAGATTTGGATACGTTACGTAGACGAGACATTTGTAATAATCAAAAGAAACGAGTTAGATAAAACTCACAACTTCATAAACAGCGTCTTCAACGACATCGAATTCACAAGAGAAGAGGAATCCGAGGACAAAATCCCATTTTTGGACGTCTTAGTCAAGCGAACAACCACAGGGGAATTAGAAACTCAAGTTTATAGAAAATCAACTCACACAGACCACATACTCAATTACAACAACAACAACAATCCAATAACACACACAAAAGGAATTGCATACAAACACTATTCAAGAGGGTCAGCCAGTCAGGACTCATTGCAGCACTCCCACCTTAAGGAAAATTGAAGAAAGATATCTCATGGACGTCTTCCAAAAGAACGGATGGATATCCACGGAATTTCATCAAAAGACATATACCCTCAAGCCAACCTATCAAACCAAAAGCCCCCAAGGAAAGCACAAAAAAATTGCCCTATCATATGTAAAGGACATCTCAGAAATCACTGCAACACTCTTCAAACCTTTAGGAATTCACGTAACACACAAACCAACAAAATAACTTCACTCAGCTAGCTCTGTGTCAACCAAAAGACAGACTCAACAACGAAAGAAGATAAAACCAACATCTACAAAATGAATTGTAACAACTGCGAAAAACACTAACTGAATTGGTCAAAGTGGACTTCCCTCCTCGTCGTCTTCGTATCCACGAATATAAGCTAGCCGTCAAAAGACATGACATCCACTCCTTCCCTCACTCATATCGCCTCACTGCATACAGACAACCACGGACATCAATTCGACTGGGACAACCAAACCAACGTTCAAATATTAGACAGAGGAAACAACACCAAGAATGCTAGAGAATTTTTAGAAGCCTACCTGGTATTCCAGTGAATCATCAATCAATGGACACATCGAGATAGACAAAATTTGCCGACCGATAAGAAAGAAACTTCACACACACAAAGGGTCGAAGTTCAAGTCAAAGAAACAATCAGTTCCAATATCGATACAAGTACAAGTAGCCTAGAAGGTGTGAAAACACACAAAAGCAAGCAAAGAGTCACGCTCAAGATGGTCACCGACCAGGAGAGATGATTAATAAACTCACTCGTGGAGAAATCTAAAAGCTCACCTCAATTCAATTGAAATTGATGTGTATGCGCTGAAGGAAGATGTCGCTTGCCTAGTGTTGGGGCGATGAAAGCTTCGCAAATTAACCATCCATCCAGGCAGCTCAGTTAGTTTTTCCTTGTTGGAAAACACACGTATCCATATTCGTGAACTTGGTGGTTGTCTGTCTTCTGATTTTCCTCTTTCGTATCAGGACAAATTAATTACTACTCAGCAATACCAGTCTGTAAACGTACGTTATCGTCCATTATATCTCAATTAGCGTATATTTACACTCGGTTACACACCATAAAACTTAAGGGCAGGAGAAAACCAACAAAGGGGCTGGACTACAGGTGACCATACAGAAGACGGAGGTTTTGAAGATAACCAACGAACTGCAACAACAACAGCAACAACAACCAGAATCAATCACCATTAATGGGAGAGATTTTGAAAAGAGGTTGCCTCCTTCACTTATCTGGGAAGCATCGTTTCAACTACAGGTGGGACAGACAAAGATAGATGGCAAAGTCAGAATCGGAAAGGCAAGAGACGCCTTCATTAACCAGAAACCAATTTGGAAATCTTCTGCACTCAGCCAGCCAGCATGAGGAACAAGATTGGGATTTTCAACTGCAATGTGAAGTCGGTTCTTCTTCTATACGGGTCGGAAACTTGGCTAGAGTGTCACAAAATGGATTTCCAGCAGTTGATGACTTTCCGACATATAGTAACATGATGTGTCTGCCTTTGTTGTGACGGTCTGATATATTTTGCTATATGTTTGTCTGTCTATCTATTGATCGCTAGTTATTCCATTATAACTCACAAAATATCTATCTCGTCTGTCCATAAACTAAATAGACAATATTGCAAAAATATTCATTCAGATATCTATAAAAGAATATTCTTTGCTCGATTATTTTGTGTTTTAAAGATGTCTGAATGAATATTTTTGCAATATTGAAATCTTCTGAGCATCATTTTGCGTTAAAAGTACTCAACGAGTATTTGAAGTATAACGCAGGGCTCGGCGAAGTAAAGACTTCTGTTGACTTTATCCACCAGTGTATTGAAACAAACCGGTACCCGAAATCTTATTGGAAATCTCTACGCCGTTGCAGAATACGGCCTAATGATAAGACACTCAAACGCCATGCAAGTAACCAAAATGACTCAATTCAATTGTGTATTACTGAGTTATCTAAGAATGTGACAGAAAAGTTCTATACGGTCGACGAATTACTAGAAAACTTAAAGAAACTATTTTTAGATTATGTGGATGTAATTGTGAGTAATAGGAAAGAAAAGAAACGCCTGAAGCTGGTACAGAGCTTAGAGAACAAGGCACCGGAAACAAGATTTCCACCGAACCCAAATCGTTTTGTGTTTTTTATTTTTCAGATGTAATACTTAGTGAAGTGGATCTACAGGTTTTATCGCTTGGCCCCAAATTTTGTGACAGCTTTGTAAAAATTAACAAAATGGATGCACAAATTCATTTCGAAAGTCTCTACACCCAAACGGAAGGCCTAAAACCCTCATCAACTGAAGATGTTGAAAGACTTAAATCAACGCTGGTCGACTGCTGCTATTATTACATGAACAGTAAACGCAATTCAGATAGTATCTTAACCAAGAAACATAGAGAATCCGTGGATGCTCTACGCAAAAATGACAACATAATAATAACAAGACCGGATAAGGGCTCAGGAGTGGTTATTTTGAACAAAGCGGATTACTTTGAGAAGATGAATACTATTCTTAATGATAATGCAAAATTCCAAAAAATCTCCTCTTCTCTGGATCCGATTGAAAAGATAGAGATGCAGTTGGCGGAAACACTGAAAAGACTGAAATAACAAGGCTTCATCTCACAGAGTCAGTACACGTCACTCTGTATTGATATTAACTACTAATTTAAAATATTCTGTGTATATAAACACATATATAATTGTAGAGCCTGGAAGAGGAATTTATCGAAAAGAATATTCTTTGCTCGATTATTTCGTTTTTTATAAATAGACAATGTATGACCTTGGTCACGTGACATTACAACCAATCAGAATCCAGTGGTGGTAAGAAAAACTACCTATCTATCATCTTATTGGTTCATGTGTGTTAGTTTAGTTATTTCCTATATACTCTTGTATTGTACAGTTAATTCACACATTTTCGTACTTGGGTACTGTGCCACTCACTCAATCTTGTGTGACAGTTAATTTTCCTAGTTGGAAAATACACGAATCTTCGTTCACGTGGTGGTGGTCTTCTGATTTTCCTCTTTCGCGCCAGGACAACAAATTAACTACTCAGCAATTCCAGTCGGTCACACCATATAACATCCTTTTTTTGTATTTAAAAAAAATTTATTTATTTCTTTTGGTTACAGCTTGATTCCACACCGTATTTTCAGTACAAGTATGGAATTCACAGCATGGATATCGGTAGCCCAAATTTTACAGGCCGACCATAGATATTGGGTGTGCGTCAGCAGGGGATCGAACCCCGGACCATATGCATGGTCGACGAGAGTCCTAACCACTGTGCCACCGGTGGCGATGAGATCATAACACAATAAGTTTTGTGACATTACAAAAATTAACAACACTGACAATAGGCGATAAGTTAAGTATACGTAAAAATTTGCCATATACTCACATTGAAGATCGGGTGATGAATAAAGCGTTATGGGTTCACCTTGTATTTTAACTTTCCTCTTTCTGTTGATCATCTTTCGATAACGGACCACATGATCGATGACCAGAAGGAGGACAACTGTCAGCGAAGAGAAAAAAGAGTCAAAACAAAAAAAGGAATTTGACAGAAAAGCAAACAAACAAACATTCAAATATATATAGGGAATATTCCCATATAGTAAAATTTAGAACAACAACACCTGCTTAAGCGAACAATATTGTTGTTTTCAATTAGACAGATCTCATCATCAGGCTTAACTCTAATATACCTTAACGAACGCAAAAGACAAGCACAGCGTAATTAGACAGCAGCACTGAATGCTTTTTGTACCGCCTCATTTCTAAGGCGCTGTGTTAGTATCTCGCTGATATTGTCCTCAAAGAACTGCATTTGTAAGAATAAGGCCTTCCTTTGCCTCGGAAATGTTGGTACCTTGGGCTGTTTTGATTTTACATTCATATTCTTATCAATAAACGTTTCTGGATAACCATTTTCACTCAGCAACCAACCGTTTAATATTATTAAGTTCCTCATCAAGACATTCATCCGAGCAGATTGATCTTGCTCTGTGGTGGACCAAGCACTTTATCAGATTGCGTTTGTATTTCAATGGCACGAAGCTGAGAAAATGAGTATACTGACAGTCAGTTGATGTAGGTTTTCTATATGCAATTCCTCTTCTTATTGTGCCATCCTCTTTTCTGCTCATAAGGACGTAGTCTAGAAATGAGATACTAGAGTCTTTTCCTTTCTAAATAGTAAAATTTATTGTAGGATGAACCTCGTTGAATTTCGTTAATCGTGATCTGATAAGTAAGTCAGTTGTTGTACTTCACAAATGGATGTCAAAACGTTGAGTCTTCAAAGGTTCTTTATAATTTCAGGTACGAAATTGCTGATGAATACGAACTGGAGTAAATTCTCACTTAATCAGGTGTTTGTTACATATATTGTGTCTCAATGTATCATCACTGTCTATACATGAAATATTTTAACTCATTCATACATTGCCGTGCACCTAGATGAATTATGGGATGTATTAACACATGAAGTGAAATATGCTAGAAGAATTTCCCAGTTGCAGAGATCAAGTTCCATGGAAAAAGACAAATTCTCAGAGGAAATATAAATATTTTAGAAGACAGGGAAAGTGACACTGCTTATCGATTGGATGAATGAATATGATCTCAATATATTAAATATTCCCATAGTAAAATTTCGAACAACACCTGCTTAAGTTAACAATATTGTTGTTTTCAGTTAGATAGATCTCATCATCTGACTTAACTCTAATATACCTATACCAACTTTACAAATAAAAATCCAAATATAAACCAATCATCATGGTGTTTTGTCTCTAGGATAGATAATACGATTGTGAATATAAATTGTGCAATTAGTCATGATAGTAGTAATGATAATAATCATTGTAATAATGGTTTTATCAATAATAAGGATAAAAAAGTGAAGCAATCTGTGATAACACGAATACTGATGAAAAACAGCATGATTAAACAAACAAATGTTCAGGTAGACATAGTAGTCGACAAAGGCCAGCTGAAAACAAATGAACCGATTAAGTAATGCTAGACTGATTGTAAGGGAAGTAAATGAAACACCCGTTTTCAATGAAGATGTGATAAAATTAAGGGATGATAAGAGAGGAGGGGTTGAAAATATAAGTAAGTAAGGTGGGGTGTTGGTGTAGAAGTCATCAGTTGGTTATGTCTTAATAGGCCAACAAGGGAGGGAGGGATAATGGCTGTGTGTACGAACTTCTTATGAATGAAGGCATAGCTTAGGTTTAATAGTTGTTCGAATGCCTATCGCTTGCCTCAGCTGTGTGCAATAAACGAATACGAAGTCTATTGGAAAGATTCGGAAGGGGATACGATGAATTACTTTGAAAGCTATCGTTTTCTGCACTACAACATGACTACTATTTGTCAATTAAATGTGACAAAATTGAGGCAACGGATTGTTTTTGTCTGTCCCTTGCTAAACCACGATGATGGGAGATGTTCACTAACACGTCGGCTAAGCTGTCTAGTACTACTTTTTCATCCTTATTATTGATAAAACCATTATTATTATTATTATCAATACTACTATTATGACTAATTGCACAATTTATATTCACCATCTTGTTATTATCCTATAGACAAAACACCATGATAGGTTCTTTATATTTGAATTTTTATTTGTAAATTTATGTAGGTGTATATTAGAGACGGCTGTTTACGAGAGTCTGCAGCCCTTTTGGGAAGGATCTCCGTGATTCACGCGCCAAGTCTGTGAGTCATACAGAAGAAGAAATGACTTGACATTCATTAGTGTGTTGGAAATCTGAATCGTGTTTTTGTGCTGAGTACACCAGATTTCCATAGAGTAGTCAAGGTATATTTATGTTTTTAGCCTAGGTTTCACCTACATACTGAACTTCAGAACCACTGTGTTATTGACCTCGATTAGCTTGTTATGTAACTAATAACTTTATTAATCGTAATAGAAAATGGATATCCAACACGTTTCATAGATAAGAATATACATTCAAATCGTATAAAACGTGACTTCATAAAGAAATATATGGAAACATCAGAGAGGAAACCGGAGACTCTGACTGCACGTAAAAAATCTCTATTTATTAAGTTACAATTTAATAGTGACTTATCAAGTGAGATTATATTCCAGAGACTTTTCAGGAGTATACGGAGAACGTTTTACGCAGCATACCTATGTTTGTCATTCTCTAGCCGACGAATGGTTGGGACGCAAACGAAGGATAAGCTAGATAGTTTTGCCACATCTATGTACATTTATCAATTCAAATGCATCTGCAGTGACAGTTATGTTGGGCACACTACTGCTAGACGGCTTAGCCAACTTGTTAGTGAACATCTCCAATTGTGGTTTGGCAAAAGACAAACAAAAACAATCCGTAGCTCAATTTTGTCACATTTAATTGACAGTGGTCATGAAATCGAGAAAACGAGAGCCTTCAAAGTGATTCATCGTATACCACCGAATCTTTCCAATAGACTTCGCATTCGTTTATCGCACACAGCTGAGGCGATAAGCATTCGAACTATTCAACCTAAACTATGCCTTCATTCAAAAGAAGTTCGTACAGACATCCATTATCCCTCCCTCCCTTGTTGGCCTATTAAGACATAACCAACTGATGACTTCTACACCAACACCCCACCTTACTTACTTATATTTTCAACCCCACTCTCTTATCATCCCTTAATCTTATCATATCTTCATTGAAAACGTGTTTCACATTTACTTCCCTTACAATCAATCTAGCATTACTTAATCTGGTTCATTAATGAAATCCACGCCTAGGTTACTAGGTCGCTCGCTGGTTCTGGGCTAGCAATTCTACACCATTAAAAAGCTATAAAACTGCTGGAGGAACTTCAACGTAAAAGAAAAATATTTAAAAATACAAACAAAATATTAAAAAGAGTTAGTGTTCCCTGTATGAATTTAGATAAAGCAGCAATAAGAAGACGTAATTTGTTTGAATCGTGTGTGTAAAGTGTATTTGTGCAACACACATTTCGAACAATCTGATCCATCACACACACACACACAAGGACTTGTCATAAGAGTACATAAATATGAAATTAATAGAGTTAAGAAGTGAGTGAGAAAATAGACTACTTGACTACTTAGGTCAAGTTAAAAGGAGGACATATTGAAGGTGAAAATAACAATGACGATCAATCACTAAACCAAATAACAGAGGTAATAGTACATCTGCCCTGGTTGGTATCAAAACAAAGTTTACCAACAAGGAAGGTAGGTATAGATAGTGTGATGACGAATTGTTGCTTTGAACACATACAGGTGGTTTGAACTTTCTAACTTTAGGATACGCTTGTATCCAAACTCGTTTTATAGATAGGTTTAAAAGATCTGTTAACGTCAGTTTTATGTCCTGTCTCCTCTGTAATATGTTTCACAGTGGAGGAGCTAGCTAGGTCTTCGTCTGTTCTCACCATTAATGGGTTCTGAAGATTCCATTTGTTTCTGGAGCCATTGAAGAGTATGCTCTGAAACCAGCCCTTACCTGCACAGATCAATGAGTCCTCGCTATGTATGTGTTTGTGTCCACACATACATTCGCATTGGTAAATACAGCGGGATGTGACATCATATTTCGCATGTTCAAAGGGCTTAGATGGATGGATACATATGGGCTTGACATTCTCAATTATTATGATATTAGCTGCATAAAAAGTCTTTTTAACCACAAAGGCGTTCAGTCTTTGTCTAGTTATCAAACTGTTATGATGCCCCGCCCATATAGGGTAGCTTGATGTACACGTCTTTCTTAGGGGCGAGTTCTAGAGTGAGTGGGTTTTGGTGTTCCACTGACTACTTTATATCTCCTGATGAGCTTGTCTGGATAACTGTTGTCAACCAGAGTGAGTTTGTGTCAACTTTCTTTCTTCCTCATCATCAAGTGTGTCTGTCCTCAGTGCACATTCATTGGATTCTGCTGAAAAGGCACCTTGCTAAGGCTGTTTTGTACAGAACAGGGCAGAAACTGTGGTAATTTGTATTAAAAAACAACCTTATTCTTCGCGGGAATCAGAGAAGCAAACTGACACAGCTAGCTGGCTGGTGAAAGCCAGCCTTCGGGAAGCCAGTCAGTTAGCCAGCCAGCCAGACAGCCAAAGTGTCTTCTGTCGATGAAAGCAAGAATAAGAATGGAGACTAGGAATATGTGTACAATGTACGAAAGTCGGAGGGCTATCCAGGTTAGTAAGGTAGTGAGAAGATATCGGATTATGAGTCCGACTGTGTCCAAGGAGCTAGAGGATAGGAATACTCTGCACTTAGAGACAAGAAGACTCTAGAAGATCTGGATTTCGCGTGAGGAAGATATATGTCTAGTGTAACACAGACTCGAAGGTCTAGAGGCAGGCGAAAAACAACAAACTGATAACCACGTTTCGAGCACAAACAACTGCCACTCATAATCATATCAAGTTACTTATTAGAAAGATCAAAAAAGGCCAAAAGCAAATAAAAAATAATTGTGACATCTGAGGCCCTACGTAGGA